ACAAAGCTTTGTTTTGTATTACCAAACTATGAAATAGCATCTGCGAAGCACAGAATAGAAGCGTATTTGAACGAAAAAGCCGCCGAACACATATCTATGTAAAGTAAACAAGCCCCCCGCTGCATCCCTTATTCGATAGTTATAAATTCGACAGATAGGATCTAGTTCGTTCTGCATCCCTGTTTCTATAGTTCCGAACCATTTCTAAATTCGTCACTTTAGATCTAGATTTGAAGTGAAAAAAACTGAAAAAATTAGTTTCTTAAAAGTACCACTTTTCGCCGATTTTGGACTGGTGGGGATATAGTTCCTATCGGACTAGTTCCTTTTTGGCGATAAAGACCTAGTACGGAACTAGAAATTTGATTCACTAGTCCGCGGTTTCCCTGCAGGGCAGTTTTTGCTTAGCTTAGGTATGTAGGTAACGCTGTAATATTGTTTTGCTGTATTCGTTGCTTTTGAGTTTTCTGTTTTACTTCGGTGACTATCTATTTGCATAAATTATTTGTTTTAATAGTTCGCGTACTAAGTAGTCGGGGTATAGTTGGTTTTGAAAATTTTCCTTATCTTTTCTATGTTTGTTGGGTGAAATTTGGGACGGCTAATTGTCAGTATTTTATGTATAAAGTTTTTGGCGGTTTTATTTTTATATTTGGTGGGTTGGGAAGAGTAATAATTAATTTGGTGTCCAGAAGATGTAGGCTTAGAATACCAATCTAGGATAAGGGTGCCATTTTCTCTAAAAATACGCGCATCTAAAAAGAGATACTGGCATTCTCTTCCATGTCTATGGTAAACTGAATATTGCTGTGTTATTTGTTTAGTGTTTTTAGAATGATATTCACGTCGTTTCTTTTAATTATCACATAAATGTCGTCCACGTATTTGGTAATGAATTTAATTTCAATGTTGTAGTCGTTTTTGAGCTACGAAAAGGTATTGTCCAGTAGATCATCCATGATGATATCAGAAATCGTTGGAGAAAGAGGGTTTCCCATAGGCATTCCGAAAGTTTGGGTATAGAGTTTGTTTTCATACATAAAATAATTGCTGTCTTTGAGGCAAAAGTCTAGAATGGTTTGAAATTTATGTTTTGGAATCCGTGTCATATTCTTAATTTGTTCACATTTATTCATAATAACCCTGGTTGCTACATTTACCGCTATATTTGTAAACTAGGACACAACATCAAACGACACTAACATCTGTTTTTCACGCACACAAACATTTTTAACTTATCTTTTAGTTTAAGGGCATTTTTGACGTTATACTTTTCGGATATCACAGTCTTTAGAATTCCTCCAACAAATTTGGACAGCTTATAACATAGAGGAATTTCGGGTTTCTGTATCTTTGGCAACCCATACATTCTTGGTGCAGTAGCCGCAGTAGCCGCAGTGCTGGTAAGCTGTTGCATTTCTTCAATGTTTATATATTTGCTTTTGTAGAGATCGTCCACTATATTGTTGTTTTTCCTTTGCAGAGTGGTTGTTGGGCCCGTTCTTTTTGTCTTATATGTATTTTTGTCTTTTATAAGGTTGCTCATTTTCTCCAAGAATTAGGAAAGGTATATTGTTACTGTCTTGATTCCCTTGTCCGCGTCGGTTATAACAATGTTTTTGTGTAGTTTGAGAAACGTTTTTGTTGCATTGAATGCTGCTAAAATGCCGAAGCGGACAAGGGTATCAAGAGAGTAGCAGTATACCTTTCCGAAGACTTTTGCCTCAAAGACAACAATTATTTTTATGTACGACAACAAACTCTACACCCAAACTTTCGGAATGCCCATTGGAAACCCTCTTTCTCCAACGATTGCTGATATCATCATGGATGATCTACTGGACAATATCCTTTCGGAGCTCAAAAACGACTACAACATTGAAATTAAATAGAAAAGCAATGTTGAGTATGAAATTCAATGTAAAGGCAAAGAAAATGAAGCCTGTGACAAGGTTTACATTGGAACAACTAAGCGGGCTCTAGGTACACGAAGCAGATATAAAAAAAAAACAGAAAAACAAACACAGCACCAGCATAACACACAGTAACTAGTTGACACACAGCTGATTTTGAAAACACTAAAATAATAGACCAAGAGAAAAGGGAAAGAACTAGGTACAGGCTGGAAATTCTGAGAATAATGGAGAACAGAGAAAAAAACAATAAATAGTAAAGAAGATACCGATGACATTGCCGCGGCTTATATTTTATGTTTACAAAATTAGTTTAAAAAGTTTTCAGTCTTGATTAAGCTACCAAGCTCAAGTTGGTACTGAACTTTTAGCAATTAAGTTTTTTAAAATGTTTAAGTGTTTATACTGTATTGTCTTGTATCGAGTTAGAATTGTTTGTTTACATGTTACTGTCATCAAATCATATGTTGTGTTTTTTCTGCTTTTTATGTTCATTTTATATTTTGTATTTTATTGCTGTAACAGACAAAAATAAACAATGCGCACCTGATGATGCTAATAAGTTAAGCGAAACGTTGGGCTGTAATAGTGGATTAAACTTGTTTTATTTACACTAGACATAATCAGACTAGCCTATCAAGGAAATTTATTAAACATAAGCTTTCTTATTTTATATGTCCCTTCAGGTTGTTCAACTGTTGTAAAGAAGAACGATATGAAAATTATGTTTAGTTAAATTTTTTATATGTCATACGGAAGTACAACCATTATATCAGCCCGAGAGCACATGTCAAAGACTAAACCGCATTATTTTGCTTATTTAATATTATGAAAGGTATTTTTTCTTAAATGAGGAAAAAATGTGTAATACAAGTTGAATTTAATAATTTAATGTTCATCATACGCCCTGTCGCACCTATTAAAAATGCTTTACAATTGCAATCCTTCAGGACATGCACACATTTTTCTACTAGAAAACATATCGTTTTGCATGCTTGTAATACACCCTTATCCCCACTGCACTCTTTCCATTAATTACTTTTTTCGATGTCCTTGCGGGAAATCCTTCCGTCCTCTAAAAAATTTAAAGATGCAGATTTACTTGAAATGCGTTCAAATATGGGAAACATTTCGAAAAGTTTTCATGGGAGATTTGGCAGCCTTAATTCAAGTTATTAACTAAAACTTCAACTAAACTCGTGTCGTTATCATATGGCTATAAAACTTCATACAAGGCGAATTTCAACCAACTGGTGTTACTGGCGAACTTAGATTTTCACCGTAGTACTTCTTAATGTCAAAATGATGTGTTTATTGTAATATGAATTCGCCTTGTTTACAACAAACACATCATTTTGACATTAGGAAGTACCGCGGCGAAAATCTAAATTCGCCAGTAACACCACGTTGTATAAATTCGCCTTGACTTTATTTTGTATTATCTTAAATATCTCTTTAGACCAGCCACTACGAAAAATTAACACTTTACTTAGCTGTCCTCAAATTCGTAATTTTTTCTATTAATTTTAACGCTTATTTTCACTAAGTCAAATTCGATGGCATTTGCGGTCAAATGAGTGAAAAAAAATTGTCAAATGAGACTAAAAAATGATCTTTTGATTGATTTAGGTCAGAATAGGCCTTCAGGCGTGTACATGCGCTGCTAAAGCGGCTTTTTGTAAGTTTTTGGCCCATAATATCATCGATAAAGGTAGGGATAAAGGAAAGAAAGTTGTGTCAAAATATGTCAAAAAATTTTGTTGTCAAAATATGACATAATGACAACCAGCCTTTATTCGCCCATACAATCCAGTGTCTAGGATGTCTTCAAATTTCATATTTTCTTTAAATGAGAACTATAGCTATTTGAGCGATATTCGCTTTTTGATTTCTGGACATATATTTAAAATACTTTCGAAGTTACTTACGGCAATTTGATTATTTTCTCGGATAAATTAGTAGACTTTTCCTGTTGTTTTATAAAAAGCTGGATAAAGAAGTATACTTCGCACAGTGTGTTTTTTGACTTTTTTGCCAATATTTTTCAGAGTCAAAATTAAACAAAAACAACGCTTCTCCGATTCCCATTAGACTATAGTCTATAGATATAGGCTCAGTTAAAAAGAAACCTAATCATGTTTAAAGTATGCACATCCATCTTTTGTTTTCATGTTTTTAATAAAATTTATAAAAAAAACTACAAATGAATGATGTAAGTTTTTTTAAGTACAATCTATCTCATTCAGGTACATTTATTTTGTGATATTAGGTACAATCTGAAATTTCCATTTTTCATCCCTGGTACGAACGCTGTAGTCAAGTAAAGGTGTTCTTACACGATATGTATTTGCATGTGCACATGCCACTTTTTACATATGGAAATGCCAACATATCGTGTAAAGGCAAATTAGATTTGTTTCTGTACAAAGCAGATGTACGTACATATGAAATAGCAATGTTTCTATTTTCATCTGACACACAGATAGAATCATCTGAGTTTAGTTTATTTCGTTTTTAAAGAACGTATTTTTAAATAGTTAAATAAAGACTGTGAATTTGACAGACATACGCAATTACATACCCAGTAAAACCAGCGTGACCGAAACTCCAACACAAACGCAAATTTTATGGTGTTACTAATAGGCCCGTCAGAATGGGTACTTGTACGTCAATAACGGAAAAGTATGGGAAGGAAGTGGCGTACGTACCGTAGAGATACGCAACAATGAAGGTGTTACGTCTGCAAACAAAAGTGAGCTGTTCCTTATGGCCACGTGCTGGGGTTTACACAAGTCAATTTTTCAGAAACAATACCAAAACATTCACATTTTTTTACTAATATATTTGTTTGAGGATTAAGTAGTTTCTTAATCCTTTCAGCGAAAAATTTAGGCCGAGAAAGTTCTAAATATAAATGAAACACCGATGTGTCTCAAATATAAATGCAAAGCGTTTTCTTTATTTCCAAGCCAAAGTAGAAG